GTCCAGGTGGTTCAATCCAAAGGTTTGCAAATAACTGCATTACCTCATCTGATACCTGCAACGGATGTGATCTCAATTACATTCACAGCCAATCTGCCTTCAATGTCAACCCAGAGTCGCTCGGACATAGTCAAATGTGATGATGTTACAAATGGAAAGAATGTTTGTCTTGTCATTGAAAATTTGCAAACAACAAGTGAGAAAATTATTGTTGAACTGTCTCAAATTTTTGCTAAACTTGGGCCTGTTGCTAACCGTTTCAAAAGGGCATTGTTGCCGGTTTTGGGTAGAATTAGAAATTGGATCGAAGGAACTGCAACGGAGGAACAGCTTAATGCAGTGATTGCATCTCTAAATACCTTGGGAGAAGATGTTGAACAAATTAACAATAAAACTAATGAGTTGATCACCGTCTCGAACACGCATGCAATCCAAATTCAAAGTCTGTCAAAAAGCATGCAGCAGATGCTATCTGAATATTCTAGTGCTTACAACGTCTTGGTAAGATCTATCAATGATGCTGCAAACGATGGGGACATAATCCTACATAAAGTCTTGTTCACACTTCAACTCCAATCAGTAATTGAAGTTTTGCAGAGCCACTTAATGGCGATGAAGTCAATCTATCATAATTGTCAGGCCGGTCGCCTTGACCGCCTTGCCATTAGTGAGGGTCAACTGAAGCATGTTTTGGCACAAAAGAATCTCTTACTAAAATCTGGAGATCTCAAACTTGCGATTCCACCGGAAAGAGTTGACCTTTATTACCTGCTCAGTTCAGCTACTTGTGATCTCGTGTCTCAAACGAGCATAAGTATTTCGGTCTATGTTCCCATCACTCCAGCTACAGATAAATGGGCGGTTTTTGCCATAAAGCCATTAAAGTTTTTGCTCAACTCACATACATGTGACATTCTTCAAAAATCGGTCCTCATTGCAACAGATGGGGTATCAGTTCGACCAATGGACGAGCGTGACGTCCTAAATACCAATTTTGTAAAAATTTTGCCTCGCATTAGTGAAAATAATGATATTACGAATTGTGTTCACAAAATTCTCACTGGAATGGAAATTGCGGAGTTGCAAGATCACTGTCATGTAAATTGTGTGGAAAAGAAGGAAGCAACAGTTCAATCTATCTGGAATAACACGTTCTCTGTTTTAAACCCAACTAGTGAATTGGATATTATTTGCAATAATAATGTGGTGCGTACTGTCAATGTTTTGGTATCAGGCAGGCATGAAATTGTAATCCCTTGCCACTGCACCCTCGTGGAACAACGCGCAGGTGAGCGTACTTTAATTCCAGCAGGTAGCGCTTGTGTTATGCCGAAAAATGTAAATAACAAAGTGCATGTTGATAATTCATGGACGGATTTAGGAAATTTCTCATTGTTGGATGTGTTTGTAACTAAAGGTCAGGCTCTTGCTCTTGCAGCAGAAAATGTAACAATGCCACCACTTGAATTGGCCACAGTGGCACCCCTAAGTAGCACGGGAATGAATTGGCACAAAATGCCGCTGTATAAGTCTGGCTGGATTGAAACCATAATTTTTGTATTAATCTGTCTTTCGGTAATTGCCGCAGCAGCATATTGGATTGATAAAAAGACTAGTGCTGTGTCAATGTTGTGGAGCTGTGGTAGGGCGACTGTCCGCAAATTTGCTGGGGCATCAAAGAAAACTGTTCCGCCGCCGGAGAGTGAGGAAAACGAGGATGAGGTAGAGCTCAGAAGCATGCGCCAACGGGCGGCGGCGAGGTTGTAAGAGTAATAAGGTCCCATTAGAATTAAGCTAGGTATAATTTTCTTTCTGTAATTTTTTTTAGCAGTGTTTTAGAGGAAGGTTATCCGCAGGCACCGACGTGCTAGGGAACAAAACTCCTGTGTGACTTGCTACGAGGACGGCCGAGCCTGGGAAGGACCGGAGCCGACACCGTCCCGGAGCACCAATTGGATCACCATTTCCTTGACCTTCCACCCAAAATGCCAAGTCTTTGAGAGAGGAGGCACAGTCGTAGAAACGACTGCCCAAGCTGAGGCCCTTTATGGGAGGAAGCCGGACAAGCAAGGAAGGTGTTTGGCGCGCCTTGCTTCAGCCGAAGGGTTTTGGGGGAAGTATGCCACACTACTTGTTAAAAATTCTAAATTGATATTTGGATTTGTAGTGTTGGCTAAGTCCAGGCGCTTGACTCAACAGTTACTCAGAGTCGCGCGAGCTGTGGCTAGGCGCAACGCCCCCCACGGCCGACTGCGGTTACCTTTGGTGCCAATAGCAGTTCTGGCACTCATCATCAACGATTTTGCAAAGGATGAAGAAACGACCCTTTGCCATCACGAGCTTCGACGGCGGCGAACAGTCTAAGTCACACGGGAGTAAGCGTCCCTGCCCGGTAGTTTGCGAGTGAGAAGAGAGAGAATAGGTCTAAGTGTAATGTTAGGAAACCATGTAATCGATAGTGCTAAGTTTAGAATAGGAAAAAGAAAATACAAAAAAAAAATATCAATGGGTGTAGTTTTAGAGTTTGTTTGGGATAAAATCATTTAGTGTTAAACTGTGGTAAAAGGACATTGTCTTGTTTTTTTTCTCATCTTCACTGCTAATCATTTTTTTTGTATGTGTCCATGTCATGATAATTTATCTAAAAATACATGTAGCCACTATCAACTTTTGAAATATTTGTAAATGTAAAAAAAAAATTGTACTCCTGGTGCTGGTCTCACACAACCTAATTTGCCTAGAAAATGTTCAAACGTTAAGAGTTAGCTATCTTAGTTTGTGCCGTTGTCGGGGTCGACAATTTTGATGCTACACGGATGTTGCGGGGGGAAACTCAAATCTCGCGCCGCTCCTGTCACCAAGCCCGCTCACTGCCATCTAGAGCGCGAGGCGGGCGGCGCGAGGATGAGGCAGTAGCGGCCGTCCGCCGGGCCCTTCGCGAGCCCGCGGAGCGGCCGCGGAGCGGCACTCCGGGCGGACACTCGGGGCAGTCGTCCGAAGTCAATCCCTTAGACAAGGTGTGTGAGACCACCCCAGTCCTAATCGGTTCAATATATCTTATACCCAGTTGACCTGAAATCCATCTATTAATCATACTCGATCTCCGAACCCCCTACCACACCATCGAAACAGCCCCGGGGGTGGGGGTGGGCAGCGTGCTGGTGCGGTGCAGGCGCCGGGAGGTCTGGTAGTTCTGGTTGTCTGGCGGCGGCTCCTGCCCGTCCTACCAGTGGTCCTCTTCTTTCTTGTGTGCTGGGCCTTGTGCCATTCCTCAGTGAGGGGTAGGCTCTCACCCTTGCCAGGGGTGGGGGCCCAGCACAGTGGGCTGTTGGTGTGTTGTCTGTGCATGTTCTGTGCAAGTGCCGGGGTTTTGGTTTTATTTGGCTTTGTTTCTGTAGGTGTCCAGGGGGTGGTTTGTCTTTGAGCGAGTTATTCTCTCGGGAACTGTTGGTGGACCTGAAAAGGACCTTTTTGTTGCCGAAATGATGGGATGGTGTTTTCTGCCGAAAGGGTTGAGTGCTGGTTTTGCTTACGGGGGTGGGAGTGTCCAACCTGCCGCTGAGAAGAAGAGTGGGGTTTCTTCTAGTGGTGCTGGTAGTTTCCACCCCTCGGGGGAGAAGAGGAGGATCACGGCGGGGGCGGCAGCAGTTTCTGGTGGTGGTTGCTGCGCTTCGGGTTGGTGTTGGTTGTCGCTGTCCACCGTGGGAGTTCGCTAGTTGTTGAAGAAGCGGGAGGCGGCCGCGAAGGTCCCCTCTAATGTTGTTGCTGATGATTCGTAGTCCCATTATACGACGAGGTTGATGAATTTATTGGTGGCTGCAAGGATTTGCCTAGTGTTACCACTGGCAAGAGCCTTGATCATTGCGGTGTAGCTGTTGAGGTACTTCGTAGGGTCGACCTCGACGTAGGGTCGACGCAGGGGGTTGGAAGAGGCAGGCGGCCCGCCGGCGGAGCGGCCGGGGAGGCCTGATCCGGCGGGGCGATGCACTCGGCGGCCCCCAGGGGGGCGACGTACTCGGAGGCCCGGGGAGCCGACGTACTCGCCGGCCCGGGAAGGGCGACGTACTCACTCAGGCGGGCCGAGGGGGGGGCGGACTGCCCTCGCTCGGTCTGCAGGTGTGTTCTCTGGGGGTGGCGGCGACACGCGCGCGGGGGCTGGTCGCGCCCTTGGTGGCTCTCGGCTGGGGTCCTGGCGCGGCTGCGGGGAGGCGGCCACGCAGGAGGTAGGGGCTGCCAGGCAGATCAGAGGAGAAAGGTACTACCTGGCGGTTCCATTGGTCGCGGCGGGCTGGCGGGCTGGCTGGCTGGCTGGCTGGGCTCAGCCGTCGCGGCACTCTTTTTGATGTCCTGGAGGGGGCCGCGGCAGGGGCGGTCTCGGAGGGGTGGGGCAGGCAGGCGGGGCTGCAGGCCGGGGCGGGCAGGGCCGACGGGTCGACCCGCTCGTTTTGTTGCTTCGGGGAGAGAAGCGGCCGGTGTGGCGAGTCCTGTGGCGGACTGCCTGGCCGCGCTCGGCGTCGCTGTTGGTGGTGGTGGGGCCTCTCTGGGGCCCCCGCCGGAGGGGAAGGCCCTTGGCGGGGGTGGGACAGAGGCAGGCAAACACACATCGGTCCGTGCGGGCGGTAGGGCCGGGGAGGCGGACTTACTCTCGTTGCGTCGGGCCGTCCGTCCGGCGGCTTCCTGGGGTCGCATTTGCAGTGCGGCCGAGGGAGTCCTGGGCTGCCCGTCGAGGATGAGGAGCCACAGGGGTGGGCGTAGCTGAGAAGGGGCGCCGAGCGGGTCGCTCGACGCGGTGGCGGCGGCGGGCAGGCGTCGGTGGAGGCGGACCACTAGCCTAGTTTTGGAGAGGCGGCAAGCGGCAGGCCCGTTGAGGCACGGGGGCTGCCTGGCCGCGGTTGGGGGCGGGAGTGCCGCCACAGTGGTGGGCAGGCCGTAGGTGAGCAGTGCTCAGCGTCTTTGACAGCATTCTTTCGGGAGGGGTTGGTGGCCCTGAGAAGGGCCATTTTTGTTTGTCGACGTGCGACGCTGGCTAGAGCGCCGCACGGATGTCGTCTACTGTCACTGGTCGGGCTTCGCTGCGGGCCAGGGTGATGGCCGCAGCGATCGCGTTAGTCAGGAAGGTCTTGAGGGCCTCCCGGACGGCCTCCTTGCGGGGGTCGTCGGTCTGGTTGTCAGGTTTGGTAGGTCGGTGGGCAGGTTGGGAGGTGTACCCGTCGGCGAGTTCCTTGGCGATGGCACTGTGGCAGGTCCGCCAGTGCCGCGTTAAGTTAGATCTCGTAGTACTCCGGTAGATGCAGCCCGGGGCCGAGCAGGGGTAGCGGTGTGAGCCGCTCAGCTCGTGGGCGGAGCGGAGATACTGCTGTTTCTGCCATCCGTAGCGGTAGGCCCTCTTGCACTGCTCACAACGGTGAGCAGGTGCATGGTGGTCCACACGGCGGTGGCGTTGGAGCGAGCGGGCGTGTGCGAACTGCCGCTCGCAGTCGTCGCAGGCGAACATGGTGCGTGCGTGGCGTTGGGACGACAGGTCAGGACTGGCGGGCTTGTGCAGGCCCGGTGGGCTTGCGTTGGAGAGCTGTTCTGTTTCTTCTCACTCAGCGCTTTGTTGACGAGACGTGCTGAGGGCAGGGTGATGTGCGGGCTGCAGGCTGGCGGGGGCAGCTTCTCGGCCCCCTTATTGCGCTTTTTTTAGCGCGTCCGTCGTTGTTTCCAGGCCCTGCTCTTCAGGGGCGAAAACGAGCCGGGCGTACCAGCTCCGCCCCTGAAGAGGGCTGAGGACATGGGTTGCGGCGTGGCAGCGGGCGTGGCGGTGTAGTGTTCTCTTGAGAGAGGCGGTTTGCGGGATGGCCAAGTCGACCACCCTGCACGTTGGGCAGACAAGGGTGGTGGCCCGCGTCCCGCAGTTCGCCGTTAGCGTGAAAGGGTGGGCGTCGAGGCCGTGGAGGGCTGCATGTAGCAGGCAGGCCATCTCTCTGGGGTGGAGCTCCTCCTCAAGGCGGATGAGGCGTGCCAGGTCAGTGGCAGTGGCCTCATCCATGGGGCAGGGCGGCGGTGTGTGGAGGTTGCCGATGACGGTCTCCATCTGTAGCTTTCGGCGGCGCTCGAGGCGTGTGATTGCGGCGGCGTGCTCTGCAAGCAGGCCAGGGCTCTGGTTGAGCCTGGTGCTGTTGGTGGGTGCGCTGTTTTCCATAGCGGCGGTGGGCTGACTGGGAGTCGACGGCTACGCTCGTGGGCGTGCTGGTGGGTCTTCTTGTTGTTGCCGGGCCTTCTGCTGGTCCTCACGGCGGCGTCCTGGAGCTGGTGGGTGGTGATCGCGTCCTCCGCGACTTTGTTGCTCCAGGAGAGGAGGGGCTGGCAGGGCGGCCTCGGGCAGAGGTCGGTTGGCGGTGGGCGTCGACGGGGACGTCCGCGGGGTGGTTGTGCACGTGCACGGCGTCGTCGGTTACCGGGGCGCGCGTGCGGCGAGGCGCGCGGGCGCACGGCGGTGCGCGGCGGACGGGGTGCGCGGCGGTGGTGGTGGCGGCCGGACGCGGCAGGTGTGCGCGCGGTACCTGCTTCGGGGCCTCCTCGATGGCGACGAGCGGCGGGGAGCGAGCGCGGGGCGCGGCGCGGCGACCGGTGCTGCTGCGCGGCTGCGTCGACGTCGCTGCGCACTTGTGGTGGCGCGGCGGGATGACGGCGGGGGTGGCGACGGGACGCTGCTGGGTGCAGCGGGGGCGCCGACACCCTCGACGGTTTGGCGGCCTGCTTGGAGGCGGCGGTGATGGGAGGGTGCACGGTGAGGTGCGCTGGCGATGTCCAAAGGGTGGACGTTCGGTGCCGGGAGGTGGTGGCGGTCGTCGTCGTGGAGGCCGTCGGGCTGGTTGGCTGACTGGGTGGGTGGCTCCTGCGCGGCGCGCGCGACGCAGGCGGCACCACGGGAGTCAGAGTCGACGGCGGGCGAGGTGCCCGTCGACGGGTATGCGCGACGGTCTCGGACACACGGGCGGACTGGCACGTCCGTCCGGCTCGGCGGCGCGCGGAGGGACAGCTTTGCTGAGGAGTGTCCCGTGCGCGGTCATATTTATACCTGGGAGGTGTGCTGCGGCCGCGCCCGGCGGCGGCAGGTAGGTGCACTCTGATTGGCTAGCCAGCCAGGTGTGCTGCGACCGCGTGCTCACAGCGCACAGATTCAATTTGTACTTTCGTCAAAGCTATCGGGAAACAGTTGCGGGGGCTCTTACCCTCGTACACATGATTGGACAAATGGCACACAGCATGGTCGTGGGTCCAGAGTTCATTTAGGCAAAGGGCACACCACAACGGCGACGTCATGATCGAGGTGCACGAGGATGACTGCGGTCGCGGTCCAGCGGGACGGCCGCCTGGACTCGGCGCAGCCAAAAGTGCATGGCAGCAATCTATCGGGTGTCGGCGACACATCTCACACTGCAGCTGAACTGCATAGTTCTCTCTCTATCTTTCGCAGTTTCCCTCATCTAGCCCCCCCCCCCCTAATCTGTTTTCTGCATAACCTACATAAATCACCGTTTATTAAAAGTTTATTTTGTACCATTTGTTCAGCAGAGCAGCCTACTAAAACGCGGGAATAAGGGAATCATCAGGTAACTATTAAATGACCACTATTAAACTGAGTGGTGCCAAATTATAATGTACTTTAAAAAAAAAATTTAGAAAAATAATTACAATAACAAAATTCTTTTGCAAACTTCGTTTCCGGCACATTTCAAAAACAAAGAAAAAAAAAGAATTATAATAATTCTTAAAAAAAACAACTAAAAATTAATCAACGAGGTCTACAACCTCCTCCTTAATCACAACTTTCATGTCATAGTCCAGAAAATTTAAGGGAGAGTGGGGTAATTCCGGACACGGGGTAATTCCGGACACTTCGATTTTCACTGGGTTTGAGTGAAGATAACTCAAAAGCCCGCCTAACAGAGGAAGATAATCAGTTAAAAATGATAATTCCAAATCGCCAAGGTAGGAGGTCAAACCGTTCGGCTGTGGTCGCTTCACGAATTTTGAGTACCATCAAAAATAGGCAAAAGCTGCATCTTTCCCCCGTATTTCCATGTACTTATCGTACCTTACCATCAAGTTCAGTCCCATGACTAAAATTTTATCATATTATATGGTCATTGGACTTTACTTTGGCGTTTCGGGAGTGCTCGTATGGCTCGCCGTTTTCTTACAATTGAACATCAAGGGTTTTCACTACCTGTGGGGTAAATCCGGACAAGAAGTGTTATTTTCTTCAATTTCCCGCATTATATTAAGGTAGTGGGTTCAAAATTGTGGACATGCATCCCCACCGTTAAGAAGGATAAAGAAAGAACGAAAAATAGTATTGCAGCTATGTTAAAGAGCTTTACTCAAGACAGTGTTGTCAATTTAGGGGTTTTGATAGAAACTATTCCTTATAATATGCTTTGAGTAATAATCAAACACTTCAGTTCGCAGCAAATGTCCTTGCACGCCTTCTAAAAGCATGCCTGACATTAAAACAAGCGAAAGTAAGCTCGAGTAGTGTCAAATTTTAAGGTCGTCCGGAATTGCCCCATAGGTCGTCCGGAATTACCCCAGGCTGGGGCAATTCCGGACACTTGCAAGGCTTTTGTTAAGCGCCTATATCTCCCTAACCGTTGCTGAGATTTGGCTTTCATGTATATCATTGTGAAGGTAAAGGTCCATACTTTACTCTCCTGTAATAACATTTGAACCAAGAAGCATATTCAAGCTCAAAGACCAAAAAGAAAAAAAGCGTCCGGAATTACCCCACTCTCCCTTACTAGACTCACCCTCGCCGTCATCATCAGACGCACGGCGAGGGGAGCGTCCTCCAAATCTTCAGGTATCCGAAAAGTATTGACACGGGAAGCAGGAACGGGAGCAGGAGGTGCAGGTACGACAGCAGGCCGATACAAATACTGTAACCAAACCCCGAAGGAATTATTACCTAACTTAACACTCGATAAAGAAGTGCACAAAAACATTTAAAAGCCAGTACTCACACAACATGTCTCGTTGCATAGAAAACATAAATACTCCGGATTTAAGCGGTCGTCCGACTGAACTGAGGCGCAGACGTACCGCGCGAGGCCTTGCCTCGTGGCGGTAGCCACGGTAAAGTACGGGCGTACCCGCCCGTACTGGAAAGAGTGCGTGAAGCACTCGCAGCACACCTTCCACGTGCAGCCAGCAGCATTGATATGGCAATAAAAAGCGAAATACAGCTCGGGAGACATGGCAAATGATACAATCAAAACACGGCGAGGAACCAAAATAGACAGCAGAACAACTCTCAACGACTGTTTCCACAAAAGTGGAGGATCACGAGGCCGGAGCCAAGAATTCATGCAAAATCAGCGCTGGGGCGGAAAGTAGGAGATCTCAACAGACCCGGGTGCTTTGCCTTTCCTGGCTCCCATGTTGAAGTCGCCGACGAGCAAGTGCCACCGGGCCACGGTGATGTTTCGGTGGTGTGTTTCGGTAACTCAAGGCCAGACTCAATTCGGGTTTTATCTCGTTTGTATTCTCCTTTTAACTACAGGGGTGGCCCCACACGCACCTTACACTTTGACCGTCTAGAACGCGACTGCCGCGCCGTCCCCTCCAGCGGGCCGGTGCGAGCCAGTGCATCGGCTGCTCTTCCCTGTCGCTCCGCATCGGAACCGCTGGAAGGGTTTTCCATTAGCGTCAGCAATACGGGGCGTCGCGGCGGGCTCACGCCGATTGCCAGTCGCGGGGGCCCGCAACAGAGAGGCATCGAGAATGGATTGGATGAGTCTTGTGTTGAGAGGTTTTGAGGCAGCCTGGTAGAGGTTTGTAACGAACAGTGGACCTCTGTTTGTTTCGATTTTGAATGTGGATGCTTCTGACCAGTCGTCGTGTTGGTGAGCGACGAGCTGGTGTTGGGTGCTTATTTCGATGTAGGTATTGATGCCTACGCCACTGCGTTTGTCGGGGAAGCTGGAGGGGCGGTACTGTTTGTATCCGACCATTGTATGTCTGTGTTTATTGGAGGTGACGTTTGTCTCCTCCACCTGTAGAGTGTTTTTTTCATCTTGAATTTGCTTACCACGGAGGAGCTGCTCAGGTAGCTCATCGAAATAGTACTGGAATCAAAACAAGAGGGCAATCAAGTAAATAACATCAATTTAGAAACAAGGGAGCGAATCTCATATTCAAAATACGCACGCCTCCGGACTAGCGAACAGGTCAGGTGAGCCGCTCTGGTTGCGCTCCGGTGTCCTCCTGCAATCAAAACAAGTGGGCAATCAAGTCAAGAAAATCAATTTAGAAACAAGGGAGTGAATCTCATATTCAAAATAAGTACCCCTCCAGACCAGAGGACACTGAGGCATGGCTGCTCGAGGTGCCTTCCGGTGTCGTACTGCAAACAAGAAGGCAATCAAGTCAAGAAAATCAATTTAGAAACAAGGGAGCGAATCTCATATTCAAAATACGCACTCCAGACTAGCGAACATGTCACGTGAGCCGCTCTGGTTGCGCTCCCGTGTCATCCTGATGTCAAAACAAGAAGGCAATCAAGTCAAGAAAATCAATTTAGAAACAAGGGAGCGAATCTCAGATTCAAATTAAGCACTCCAGACTAGCGAACATGTCACGTGAGCCGCTCTGGTTGCGCTCCGGTGTCATCCTGCAGTCAAAACAAGGAGGTAATCAAGTCAAGAACATCAATTTAGTAACAAGAGAGCGAATCTCGATATTCTCGATATTCGTGCGTGCGCACGAATTTGTGCGGAACAACGCCCAAGGTGCTGCATAACAATGCACACTTTCGTGCATTAGTGTTGGGACGCTGGTTTCCTGACGGTCCCCGCTGGGCGGCCGCCGAGCCGAGCCGGAGCAACCCGAGTCCGGCCGAGGCCGACACTTGTCGCGAAACCGATAAGAAGCGGCACCCCGGTGCCTCGGGCCTCCCCAGAGCACTGCCGGCCGCGCCAGAGTAGCATCCGCGCGCACTGACTGACCTCTCTCACCCACAACCAGAGACACAACAATAGCCACGCACGCACGAATAAACGCATGGCCAATGTCGTGCAAAGCTATGCACAAAAAACTACATAGTAATTTACTGTATAGTTTTAGATTCAAAGCAACTTACTTTTGCGTGG